CAGCTTTCCTGCTCCTCTGATGCTGCGTGGCCTGCTGTGTTCAATTATGTAGGGTTTCTCTCAAACAGGCTGAATGGGTGCAGTCAGCAGGAAGCTCCTCTTGTCTAGCTTTCCATCAAGGATACATGAAGACGAAACAGACCCTGCCATTGATTCCAAAACGCTTCCTATGGTGGCTCTTAAGTCAATCTACAGGAGGGAGCTTGAAGGAATTGCAATGGATTTACATAAAAAGTTGACCACCATTCAGTGCCTTGTACCTGCTGTTCCATTCACTTCCCTTCACTTCCATACACACAATTTCCTAAGTATACAGAAGCCTGTATACTCAATAATCCTTATAAATCGTGTAATTAATTCAAAATTAAATCTATTCATTGATGGAATATCCATAACTCTCTGGGGCAGAGAATTCCATTGCAATCACAAACTTTTGAATGAACGAATGTCTCCTCATGTCAATCTTCAATGGCTGACCTATGGGGTGGCGGGGTGGCACGGTGGCTCAGTGATTAGCACGGCTGCCCCATGATGCCAAGGATGTGGGATTGATTCCACCCATGGGCGACTGTCTGAGTAGTGTTTAAACAATCTCCTTTTGTCTGTATGGGTTTCCTCCCACAGTCGAAGGATGTAGGGGTTGGGTAGACTGGCCATGTTAGATTACCCATAGTGTCATGGATGTGTAGGCTAACTGGATTAGCAATGGGAAATACAGAATTATGGGTCTGGGTGGACTTGATCAGCCAAATGGCTTGCTTCCACACTGTAGGGACCTCTTAGCCAGAGACAGTAGTCCTTTGTTTTACAACCCCAGTCGGGGGAAAACAGCATCTTAACACCTTCCCTGCTAAGTTTTTTTTAAAGATTTCACATTTCAGTTGAATTGCCTCTCATTCTTTGAAGCTGCAGAGGTTCAGTCTCAGCACAAAGTGAAACAGTCTCAGTGCAGAGGGCTGGTGTTTTCACATTGTCCAGAAGCCCCTGACTGCAGATGGGTATTGGTGGATCCCACTTCGATTTCCTCCCCCTGACGTGTTGGGTTTTTCAAGTCTCAGGAAACCTGGTCAGTGGGTATTCCAAACCAGAGGTGCGCAGCAAAGTGACATAGTCCAGTGGCCTCCCTGACTCATGAGGGCAGATTGCTCTGCCCACACCGGGCCCCAATCTCAATGCAATTCCACTACACCCACCCGCTGGGATCCTTTCGCTGTTGTTTCCATTTTAAATCCCTCCTCCTTCTGATCTGGGGTGGATCTTAAAATCAACCCCAATGTCTGCCCTTTATTCATTCATGGGATGTGGACATTACCGGCTGGGCCAGCATTTATTGCCCATCCTTAATTGCCCAGAGGGTAGTTAAGAGTCAACCACATTGTTGTGGGTCTGGAGTCACATGTAGGTCAGACCAGGTAAGGATGGAAGTTTCCTTCCCTAAAGGATATTAGTGAACCAGATGGGTTTTTCCTACAATCAACAATGGGTTCATGGTCATCATTAGATTCTTAATTCCAGATATTCCAGAAATTCAATTGTTAAGGAAAGTGCACTTTAAGTACTTAGAGCAGTTATTAGGAGAGGCTTCTGTGATGATTGATCTGTGGTGCTGAACTCTGTGAGTGAGCCTGTGGAAGAAGGTTACACACCTCACCAACTGACTTGGGATTGAAACAACCATCTGCATCTTGGATACACTCATCCGGGTTTTCCGGGAAGTTGGATATTGATTGTCCCTCAAGTCAGTGTTTGTGACATGTGCCATTTCTGGTGGGACTCCCAGCATCTTCACACTGATGAGAGCAGTCACTATGACCTGCTCTAGTGCAGGCTTGTCCTTTCAGAAAGAAAACTCCTCATTCAACAAACAAAACAAAACACTTTACTTACAAATGATCCCATTGGGCCTTTTGGACCTTGAATTCCTTTATAACCAATATCTCCAACAGGACCCTGCCAAAATAAAACAAACATGGACTTTCATTGGCTACACACCTTATTCTTCATCCAAAACTGAACACACAATTCATGGCTGCATCGTAAAATGTTACTCAAAAATCAAGCATTGCTAAAAACATTTACAGTAACTTGAACTCAATGGTTTATTATTTCTCATTTTTTCTTTATCTTAAACATGCCTTGTCTTGGTTAAGGAAGTACGTAAGATCTAGGAGCAGAAGGAGGCCATTCAGCCCCTCGAGCCTGCTCTGCCATACAATCCAATCATGGCTGATCTCACCTCGGCCTCAACTCCACTTTCCTGCCCACTTTGCATAACCGTTCAACCCATTACTCATTAAAAATCTGTTTATCTCCTCGTTAAATTTACTGTGTGTCCCAACATCCACCACACTCTGGGCTGGTGAATCCCACAGATTCATGACCCTTAGAGTGAAGTATTTTCTCTCCATCTCGGTTTTAAATCTGCCAGCCCTTATCTGAAAACAATGACCTCTCATTCCAGCATCTCATATCCCTCAATTTGATCTCACATTCTTCAGAACTCTAGTGAGTATAGGCACTGGTTGTTGAGATTGAGGGATATTTTTCCTCATCCTGATGCCCAGAGTCACTATCGATTTCTCCCAGAGTCAGGTCGGTACAGAGCTCAATCTTCACTGACCCCTGCTCACCTTCCCCCACAACCCCGCTCCATCAGCCTGACAGTTCCAATCTGCTCAACTCCCTATCACAGGCTTGAGGTGATGGCCTAGTGGTATTATTGCTGGCCTATTAGTCCAGAGACCCAGGTAAATCTGGGTTCAAATCCCATTAGGCAGATTGTGGAATTTGAATTCAATAAAAATTTGGAATTAAGGGTCTAATGACAACCAAAAAACCATCATTGGTTGTTGGGAATGCCCAAATGGTTCACTAATGTCCATTGGGGAAGGAATCTGCCATCTTTGGGTCTGGCAGCATCTGTGAAGGAAAAGACAGAGTTAACATTTCGGGTCCGGTGACCTGTCCTCAGGAAGGGTCATCGGACCCGAAATGTTAACTCTGTTTTTTCCTTCACAGATGCTGCCAGACCTGCTGAGCTTTTCCAGCAACTTTGTTTTTGTTCCTGATTTACAGCATCCGCAGTTCCTCTGCCATCCTTACCTGGTCTGGCGGACATGTGACTCCAGATCCATTGCAATGCAGTAGATTCTTAACTGCCCTCTGAGCAATTAGGGATGGGCAATAAATGCTGCCTAGCCAGCGATGCCCTCATCCCCTGAATGAATAATTTTAAAAAAAAGAGGCTTTTTGTCATCTGCCCAAAAACATGGCACTGAGAGAGGGCCTGAACCAAGCCTTTGTACCCCACAGTGAAGAGGAGGATTAAATCACAGAATTACAGAACTGTTACAGGAAGCCATTCACCCCCTTCAGTTGTGCCTGCATGGCCCTTCAAATTAGCACCATTAGCCAGCACCAATTTCTCGCACGTTACCCTCTAATGGAACATCATTACAATGCATGAATCTGTGCAGCTCCCACATCACACTCACTGTCGTATTGGGTGAGGGAGTTGCAGGACAGGAGGGTGGGTGGGGGAGGGAAGGGGGTGGAGCTTGTGGCGAAATTGGCCAACAATGCTCTCTGGGGGATTATGGCGTGTTGGCGAGGTTCGAAGGAATCTCCCTAATCCAACAGCAAGACCCTCTGGCCTTTCCTCTAGAGTGGTCACCAACACAAACCATTGGAGGATAGTACCTAACAGGAGGCCAATGTCAGGAGACGGTATGGGGACAACAGGCTGATCATTGATGGTGACTTTTTGGAGTTCAGCTTGTGTTTGTTTCCCTGCATTAATACATCGGAAGGTCCTGGGGTCAACAGACCCAACCATTTGCTGCAAGATACAGACAGGGTGAACATTGCCTGTTGCTGGAAATAGCAATCAGATACGTTTATGGTCTGCACTGCCTTTCATTTCCAATTTCTGTTATTCATTCACAAGATGTTGGGGGCCAATGGCAAGGCCAATATTTATTGCCCATCCCTAATTGCCCTTGAGAAGGTGCTGGAGAGCTTCCTTCTTCAATCTAAAGCAGAGGCTTGCTGCATCATTACAGAAGGCAGCCAAGACTCAACCACATTGACGTGGGTTTGGAGTCACATGGAGGTCAGACCAGGTAAGGAAGGCAGGAGCTGCTTTCCTGAAAGTGAACTAATATTTTTTACAACAGTCCAATAAACTACACCAGCACCATGACTCAGAATCAGAGTTATTTAATTCCCTGATTTCCCCCGTGCTGCCAGATTGTGAGTCGAGATCACCGGATTCAAGCTAAACAATAAAACGACAGGTGTTGTATTCCTTTATACGAGGTCACTTCCACGACTTAAACCGCCTACCCCTAACCCCAACCCCCCCAACCCCAGTATACCTTAAACAATAAAAAAATGAATAGGACAACAGAAACTACTTTCCAAAAACACTAATTGGATCTTGAGTTGCTATACAGAGTGTGTGACAAAGTGTATGTTTAAGATATTATTATTTGGGAACTTGCATTCTAAAGTTGATACAGATGGGTTTTGATTTTCAGTGTTCTGAGGGTCTGATTTTTTTTAAAGAAAAGGTCAGAAAGCTGTTTGGAACAGTGAGCTAAAGAGAGCCTTTCCAAGAAGTCATGTGCCTTAAATGACTCAGTAAGCTACCTGATGAAACAATTGCTGCTTACTGTTGACTTGAAAATTTGTGACATACAGGAAGAGAAACCAGAGACCAGAAGTGAGTTACACTCCAGAAGAAAAGATCCAATCAGATGTGCTTTCCAACAACTTAAACTTCATCAAAGCCTTCAGTTTATTTATTAGAGTTCAGTAAGAAACATCAATGATTAGATTGTATCTCAGTGAGTGTCAGTATTGGAGATATTCACATCTGGTGAATATGTAGAAAGTCAATGACAGGAAACACTTGTGACCTCATCAATTCGGCAAGAAACCTTGAAGTGAAGATGGGAGAGATGCTTCACTGGGGTTGAGTGTCTGTAAAGTATATTGCTGGGAAACAATACTGTATTGTTGTTCATGATAAGATCTTCCTAAATTGTCTTACATATATGTATAGTTTTGAAATGATTTGCCATCAGGCTGTATATCTGATACGGACCGTATAACGTAAATATTAAAGACTGTTCCAACTGCAGTGAAGCTCCTTAGTGAGGAAAATGTGGCATGGAGTCTAATTGAATTTTATTGCACTTTCTGGAATATTCAAGTCACAATTTTGAAAAATGTGGCTTTACAAATTTTACAAGTAAAGTATATTTCTGGAGGAAAAAGGTTTCAAAAACATACTTTTGGACCTTGAAAACCAGGAAACCCCATCAAGCCTCGATCACCATCGTCCCCCTGAAAACAAACACACATGGTACTTATTTCAAACCAGAAATTTTAGATTTCCACAGTGACAATTTCAACAACGGCACATAGATTGACAAAGTATGCTTTGCTCAAAGCATTTACTGCTCAGTGAGTGTCTGATACCCAAAGGACACAAAGTTAGTGATAACTGACAGAAATAAACTGAAATAGTCTTAGGAAAATCAGCTTTGCATAATGAGTGGCATGGATCTGGAATGAGCTGCCGGATGGAGTGATGGACTCAATGGTAATCCCCATGGGAATTGGAAAGAGATACAATTGCAAGAATAAGTGGAAACAGTAGGCCAGTGGGGACAACTAGATTTCTGTTTGAAGGACTCAGCCCAGAACTGATGGGCTGAATGACCTCCTCTGTGCTGACCATATGAAGGATTTTATATGTGGAGACAATTTAATATTGGCCAACTTAAACACCTGAGACAAACATCTTCTGCACATCAAAAATAAACACTGCTGCTTTTAGTTCATTTCCTTTGAGCAAATTTCTTCTTGATTCTAAAGACCCCAGAGGATGGGGGACAAAAGCCTGTTTGACTGAGAGTCACTAGTTATCCAATCAGGTGTATCTTTTCATTTTTCCTATTCACAGAACTATCAAAATGGCACCTTATCGTGGCGACGAATGAAAGCTTTTCACTATTTTATTTTATGTTGCACTGTAAAATACACGTGACAATAAAATCATTCATTCATAAAATCATCCATCCAGGCAGCAGAGAGTCAGTTCCCCTTCCTGGGAAGGAGGGTCAAGGATAGAGGTGGCATCTGGCCAATAGTGAGTTGGATGGTCAGGAATAAACCTCCAGCACTAAATCCAACTCTGAGTTGCTGACTTTAGACCACGCTGTCAAATTGATTTTGTGTTAGTTAACATGCACTGGTACCTCTGAATCAGAATGTTCAAGTCCCATTCTAGGTCTTGTCTCTGTAATATAGGGTGACTCTAAGGGAGATTAGAGCCTTCTTAATTTATCCTTCAGAATTATACTAATAAGGAATAAGAGTAGGCCACTTGGCCCTTGAAGCCTGCTCCATCATTCAATAAGATAATGGCTGATCTGATTTTAACCTCACTCTACATTCCTCCTGCATACTCCCAATAATCTTTCACCTCCTTGGTAATCAAGAATCTATCTACCTCTGCCTTAAACTCTGTCCTCTCCCAGCTTTGCTGCTGGAAAGTCATTGGTTTGGTCAAAGATGCTTCCTTAGTCTGTCCTTGTCTTTCCAGTTTGAAAAGCTGTTGGCCACTGAGTGCGGCAAATTGTCGGGAGCAATGTGCTGAGGTGACTGTGGGAATGCCCACAGTCCAAGGCCTTTCTGTCATGGTATACTGCGGGATGTGAACCCATGTTAAACCCACACACTGCCTCCCGCTTTCCCCTCGGACCACATACAACATAGGACGCTGGAAATGAAATATA